GTCATATTACTATTCAAAAATCAAAATTTCCCCCAAAAATCCCTACCAAATAAGCTCTGAGCCTCATGTGTGAAAAATAGCAAAGTTTCCCGAAGATTTTCTGACAATAGAGTCTAAGCTACTTTATTATGAAGTTTTCGTTGGCATGGGCGAATTTAGGTGGTGGCATGCGGGGTCAGCTGAAATTTTTTGATTTTCTTTTTTTTTTTGGTAAATTTTAACCTTTTTTTTTCCACCATGTGGAGTAGGGTTGTTTCTCGGTTAAGGATGGGATTTAGATGGAATTTGAAGCCTATGTTTGGTCTCCATTTTTTTTCAATTTTTCAATATTCATTTTCAACTACACATTTTCACATAAAATAATTTGACACGCAAATCAAAAACTTTTCCTTATTTTTTAACCACGCAGTTTCCAAAAAATCACTAATCCAAAATATATTTTTAACTAAAAATAGGGCTCAAACAAGGGCGAAATGTTTGTTGGTTTAATAGATAGATAGACCAATTTTCATTCCAAATGCAAAAGGTTCTTCTCTCCTAGATGTTACTTTTCTCTTACGCTCTTTCTTCGTTATAATACCTACTTTATCTACATTACCTTTGCACCCATGTTTGGTAAAACGTGAAAGAGGATGGATGATGATTAAAAATGTGTTAGAATGAAGGAAAGGAAAAATAGGTAGCTTGCTGTGAAAGTTAAGATCAAGTTTTTAGGTTTCAAAATATAAAGAGGCGAACCTATGAAGTTCTAAAGAACTTCTTTGGATTTCAATATGGAAGAAAAGGAGGAAAGCAAGCATATATAGACTGAGTTATGAGCTTGTCTAATCCAACCTATTCACGCGAGGGAGACGAATATTTCAAATCACTGATCCATATTAGTCACATTTGATGTGTCTTTCACCAAGTCCACCATGATTCCTATGAAGTAACCTTATTTCCCGTGCACTGCCTATTCCACTTCTCTGCTTCCTGCGGTAGTCGATTGTTTGATGTTAGACAACCAAACATCAATCCTTCATATCCATTGGATAAGTTCTATCACTTCCATGTACTGTTCTGACCCGAGAAAATGTTCAACCTTATACTCGATCCCACATAGTTATCCTTGTGGCACTTAGGGATCCCTCAACCTGAAGTGTTGTGGAGGTATTGACCCCAAAAGAAGAGACGGCCATCCATAAGGGTAAACAAAATGTAAGTGATGGAGATCTATAATGATATTACATTGATGTTAAAGATTTTCTAGTATTTTATGTTATTGATTTAGTTGTTTTCCTACTTAAATTAGACTACCTGAAATTCTATTTAAGGAGGGTCTATGCATTATATTAATTAGACTTGATTATTGAATAGTCAGAGATTTCCTCCCTCTAAATTGCTTCTCTCTCTCTCTTCTGTCTCCTTCCGCTCCCCTTTCTTTCCCTCCTCTTCCAATGAATTTAGACATCAGCTGAATATGAAAAAGGCTAATTATTTTGTATCCAGTAGCGTGTAACTTCACGGGTATAAGAGTGCGAAGAAACATCTTATCAGTGAATAACTACATTTATTATGTTATTACTGATTTTTCATAACATATTTCAATGGTTGCGGAAGTATATGGTAATCTATTACTAACCAAACTTTTCCGTACCTCATAATTAGAAACAATATTTTTCTGCATGTAATTTTCTAGTTATCTGAGTTGATTCTCTCTGAAATCTCATGGGGAACAGGATGAACAACTGAAGATTATTAAATCTTTTGCTAAATTAGATATGGATTTATATGATGACACTCATTTATGCTAATTATGAGCATACTTTTGGAATGAAAAAGGTGAATAGACTCATTCTCTTATCTTTATCACAAGGAAGGAATTATAATAATGATCCCATTCACTTTAATGTTGGCATTTTATGTGCAACCAATCATTGGTGGTACTGTTTTACTTTTTCTTTTAGTTAGTCGCTTCAGCATCATTTGATAAAATCTGTCTATGTTATCTTCCTGAGGTTCATTATTTTCTATATCAGTTGAGAAAGTATTCTGCTGATAAGGGGAGCAACATTTAATATAGAATGACATTGTAATTTGAATCTTGCTATATGTACATCAAAATTTACATAATGTCATATGTCAATCTACCATTTGCCAGTTTAAAATACAATCACATTTTTCATCCAATTTTTTCTCAGCACATCATTTTCGGTAACCTCTTATGTACCATTTTGATGGATAAATAGCAAAATTCTTGTAATTTTAACGCATCTCTATGGTTACTCGAAGGATTACCTCGAATATCTCCTTTCTTGACTTTTAAGTCATTCAAAGCTTGAAAATTTTAAAAACTTTCGCTAACAAGTGTGTTTGAAAAGTGTTTATAAATGGTTTAAATTATAAATAGATAGAAATAATGGTTGGTAAGTCCGTAGGAATGTGGGTTCCACGGAAAGTGTGACCCATTATATTCATTAACCAAACACTAGCATATGTTTGAGAGTTATTTATAAACAATTTAAATCATAAATAGTTAGGAATGAATAGTGAATAAATGGTTAGGTTTTGTAGGTTTCACGGAATATATGGATAAAAAAGTGGTTTGACTGATTATGAATAGTAAACAAACATGGGCTTAATTTGTTTAATCAGTATGCTGTGCTATGATTTACTTGAATTTGTATTTATAGGCCTACATTGTCGGGGAGCATGGAGACAGTTCAGTAGCACTATGGTCGAGCATAAGCGTTGGAGGAGTGCCAGTTCTAAGCTTCTTAAAGAGGCAACAAATTGTTTATGAGAAGGAAACTTTAGAAAATATCCACAAGTCAGTCGTGGAAGGCGCATATGAAGTGATAAGATTGAAAGGCTACACGTCATGGGCAATCGGGTACTCAGTGGCTAGCCTAGCTCGGACAATACTGAGAGACCAAAGAAAAATACACCCTGTCTCAGTCCTTGCGAAGGGATTCTATGATATTGATGGTGGTGACGTGTTCCTTAGCTTGCCAGCACAGCTTGGTAGGAGTGGCGTCTTGGGCGTGACCAATGTGCATCTTACGGACGAGGAAGCACAACAACTGAGGAATTCGGCCAAGGCAATTTTGGAGGTGCAAAGTGAGTTGGCAATTTGAAGAACAAAGTGAAAAGGAGACTTTATATTTGAGTTGTAATATTGAGTGTGTTTTTCGCTTTTTCAAGTTTGAATGTTTTTCATTTAATTTTGCTGTCGAAATGCTATCCTTAATGACTAATCAACTAATCAACAAAACTTTTATTTCAATGTACTGCAAAATCAACAAAACTTTTGTTTCTATTGTACAACAAAATAAAAAACTTCGTTGATGAGAACGTTTTGTACATCATTACAATTCAAATCGAGGGGAAAAAACTAGAAAAAGAAGGGAAAACTAAGTTTCACCTCCCTGAGTACTTCACCATGGCAGTCCTACCTTTTGGTGGTCTTTAAGGTTGTGGTTGCGATACAGCTTGCCCTCTGGGTAGAGGCCGCCGGTTCATATTGGATAATTTGAAGTGATCGTGTTGCTGATATGGGCTGTTATCCAGCTTGCCTATTGCATCTCCAAGCACATCCAGTCCTACATATTGTTGAAGTACAAGAACTGAATACGTTGATGCATAGTTCGATGAAGCTAACAAATCTCCTATTGCCCTGAGCTCGGGACACTCACTCCAGTCCGTATGCCCGGCCCTGAGAGGAGATATTATTCCGTCCCCTTCCTACTATGAACAGGTCACGAATGGGATCAATCGATGTTATTGCCGCCACTGTCTCTTCCCCGTGATTCAACTCCTCCTTGGTGTAAACTACTGAATCATCATTCTCGGTTTTTGCTCCGAACTCGTTGATGTAGTCCTCATCTAGCTGTTTGTCTCTGTCATTGTCTGTTACAACTGTCAGTATTTCACGCCGGCTTGGTATGATCCATCATTGCGTGTTTACCCAGGACGAAGCCCATGACAGTGAGATTGATTTGTGGATGCTCGCACATCCTCCAGGCATAGGCTAATGCTTCTCTATCATCCGGGCCGCCAAAGAAAATTACAACTATGTGGGGGTCAAACAATGTAAGGCGTCAGAGAGAGAAGCTCAACTTTGTGAGCCCCTTGCATTTGTGAGCTCATTGATCTTTGTTCGATTTTACCTTCATTACTTGGTAATTTCGAATCTTGCATTGCAGATTTTGATAAAATCTGTCCAGATTCAAGAAGTCATATTTTGAAGATTTCAAGTTTTTTGGAGCTTCCAATTTCGGCCAGAATAGTGGTCAGTGTTTCCTGGGTGTTTTGAAGCTTCACTTTGGTCAGATTCAAGGCAGCCTTATTCCATTCATCCAGCCAGAAATTCAGAGCTTTGTTCATCCATTTATTCAGATTTTCGGCCAGTAGACTGGTGTTTTGTTCGTTCGGTTTACAGGTTTGTGGAATTTGTGTTTTTAGTTCGAACTATACCTCCGTCCTCTTGGTAGTTTTCGAATTATTGAACAGGTTCCAGATTGGAGTTGGTAATTCTAGTTCTTGTTCAAAGTTCATCTCCCTTAGCTTGGAAGGATTTGAATTTCAGTTTGCATCTTCTCTCCCATAATCCGGTTTTCAGCAAGCAGTTTTTGTGAAGTTAAGAGCAAGTTTGTTCTATGTTGCTGGAGTTTACCATTTCAGGCAAAGTATTTGAATTTTTCTCCCCCCATTTTTGGAAATTCAGTCTGCCCCAAGTTTATTCAGACAGTTGACTACTTCCATTTTGGCAATATTCTGGGGAAATTTCAAATTGCAACTTTTTAATTTTCTCACTGCTTTCTTCAGGCATTTTCGACTACTCTCTAGGCTGCTATAACCCCAATTCAGCTGGGTCATAAACAAGGTGATTTTCGGTCAGTTTCAAGTCAGGGTGCTGGGAAACTTGGCCAGATTTCTGTTCTTGGGTGATTTAGTTCTGGGTTTACTTTGGTTTCCTCTTCATCTTGGGTGAACTCGAAGCTAACCTACAGTTCATTGCAATGGTTCTTGTATTCCAGTTCGGTCAGATTCTGGGCAGTTAGCCTGGAATTCTGTGCTTGGGTGTTCTAGCTTTGCAAAGTCCTTAGGTTCATTTCGGTTCTACCTTCTCCATTGGTGAACTCGAAGTCTGCCTACTGATCTTTATTAAGTTCCTGTTCGGCACTTTGGTGCTGCTTGGAGTTAGTTTTTCAGGTTCGGTGGAGTTTGGCCAGACTCAGATTTTGGGCAGTTCATTCCAGCTTCATCTTCATTCTTCATGCTTCACTGGAATTTTCGAAATCTGCTTGAAGTTTTACTTGGTTTGGTCGAATTTCTTGGGTGTTCGCAGGTTTTGATCTGCCAATTGAAGACTCACACTCTTGTTTAGCTGTTTTTTACTCGATTGGGCAATAAATTCAAACGTTTGAATTTATTCAAATTGCCCCTGCAGTAATCCTGCAAAGTTTATTCCTTTTTGCAGTATTAAGTCACCTGATTTGGCTAAAAAGTCTAAATTTTTAGTACTTTGTTTGGCCTAAATTCAAAAACTCTCCCGAATTGTTTTTTGAATTTTAGCTTGTCATTTTTGCCTGCCTATCTTTGAACGCGGCCTGCTCCATCAAAGCTGCAATTGGGAAAGAAGTGCACTGGGTTGAACGTCCAATTGCCGACCAAGTTTGGTGATTAAGTCCAAGCATGTGATGACATTTAGTGCTGGATTTGCTCTTGCTGCAAAAAATGCAGAGTATGCTGCCTATTTACAAGGCAAGAAATTTGAAGTTTCCTCTTCACATAACGCTGCCCAACGTTCTCCAACTGGGAAAGTGGAATTTGGATACACCAACTTGAGGGTAGCCTTAATGAGTAGCTCTAAGGCACCAACTCGATGGTAGCCTTAATGATTAGACGAAGTTGTAATGTTAATTCTGTAAGCTCGAGGATGTTCGGAATAGTTGTACTCAAAATTTTGATCAATACATTTGTTTACCCTATCAAAAAAATAATAATAAAAGAAAAAATATTGCAACTATGTGGTGGTTGATCTGATATGCAGCCAATCTTGTTGATCCACTGAGGCCTCTGTCAACAAGAATGCCAACTGAACAAAGTGCATTTGCTAATACATTCTGGTTAATTGTTCGAAAGGTTGGATTATTCAATTCCATTCCTCCATCAACAGTTTGTTGTTTGTGGAAAGGGATGATAATGAACGAAACACGTTTATCCTCTGCCACATTGCAAATGTCTTCGTGCATAGTCGAATAAGGGGAAATGACAGTGAAGGGTTGAACTGATCAACACCCCACATGCTGTTTGAAATTTTCGAACGTGTTAATGATATGATCAGATTGCGCCTGAGTTCGGTTGAGTGCTGGTTGGCTTGATTTCCACGTGTTGTGGATAATAAGCATGGTAGAAGCACGCCCTGTGAGTTCAACAAGGTGGAGTGCTTATATACAAATTGGAGATTTTTTCGTTGGATGGGAGGCTTCGAGGAGATTAATGATAGTCGGAACATTTCTAGGTGTGTGAATGCAAGCAAGTACCCAAAACTCTCCATCGGGTTTTGATCTTTGGATTGTTCTTCTTTTACAAGGTATGACTTTCCTTGTCGGCTTGTACATACTTGTCACAACTGGTGCAATAATTGCCGTCATAATCACCGCTACTGCTACCATTATCGCAAAAGATTTATCATCAAGAACCTGCAGAATGCGTTGGATTAGTATAAGAAAGTAGTAAAATCACTTATTTGAATAATCAGAGACTAAAATAAGTACCTTTTGGACTTTGCCAACATTAAGGACTTTTATTTCACAAGGCCTTTAGTGTTCATGAGCAGACCAAGTGTAAGACCTAAATGGAATTTTGTAGTAAAGAGTACAAAATTGCCAATACAAGCCAGAACAATCACAATAGCAAGAATCGCCCAAGTGCTGATTCAAGTTATTGCAGCAGTGTGTCTGGAGGCCGCTCATGGCGAAGAAGACAGGGTAAAAGAAACCCCGAAACAAAGTCTTCGAGTCTTTCTATAAGGGTTATACCATGTGTTACATTTGGAATAACTAAGCCAGAAACAAAAGCTCTAAAAACTGAATATGTTCCAATAGCATCTGTTACGAAACCAGATATAATAACCCCAGTAAGAATTAGACATATACTGAATCCACTGATGGATTTGCCTTCCAGGGTTCGTCATATCATCCATGAAATTAGAGGTCTAATTACATATACACAAAAAGCAACAAAGCTACACTTTAGCAAAATCACCCAAATTGAAGCTGACACAGAACATAAGTAAAAGATTTACCAGCGTAAATCTTGAAAATAAGAAAACTGGAATTCTCCAAGAACGAAACTTGTATGCAATCAATAATAATGACAAAAACGTTCAAAAAGCCTTAAAATAGACGTTACAAAAAATCCTAAAAACATAGAATAGTAAA